TCCCTGTGACAGGGAGATCTGGTCCAGTGGGATCCTCCACGGCGGAACCACCGATAGACCGTGAAGATCCGCAAACCACGGCCTCCTGGGCCAATATGGGGCCACTAGTAGGATCTCCGCCCTCTCGAACAGCAACTTCCGAATTACCCTGGGGATCAGCGGAAGCGGAGGGAAGGCGTACAGGAGGCCGGGAGGCCACGGGCAACGCAGGGCGTCGTGGTTCTCTGCCCCGTGGGAAGGGAACCGAGAGAAGAACCTTGGTGTCTGCGTGTTGAGCGGCGAGGCAAAGAGGTCTACCAGAGGAGACCCGAACCTGTCTGCTGCTTCCCTGAACAACCGCGGATGCAGGCGCCACTCTGCTGGGTCCAACGTGGCCCTGCTCAGCCAGTCTGCCTGGACGTTGGAGACCCCGGAAATGTGCTCTGCCCTGATGGAGGAAAGATGCGTCTCTGCCCACCGACAGAGTCGTTCGGCTTCTCTCATGAGGATGATGGAGTGGGTGCCTCCCTGACGGTTGATATGGGCTTTGGTGGTGGTGTTGTCCGTAAGGACCAGAATGTGGTGCCTTCTCACCTGAGGAGCGAAAGCTCGCAGGGCTAGGTATACCGCATGAAGCTCCAACCAGTTGATGTTGTGTCGTCGTTCCGAAGGAGACCAAACTCCCTGGGCTGACAGAGACTGCAGATGGGCCCCCCATCCGGAAAGGCTTGCGTCTGTCGTAAGAGTGACCCTTTGGGGCTCCTTGAATAGATGACCTCTGTTGGTAGAAGGTCGAGTCCACCAAAGAAGGGATGAGAGAACCCTTGGAGGTATCCTTACCACTCGACTTGATGTGCTCCTTCCCGAGCGCTGGTACGGCAGAAGGAACCACTGCAAGGATCTGGAATGCAAACGAGCCCATGGGATAATAGAAATGCAGGAAACAAGTTTCCCCAGAAGCTTGGATAAACTGAGCAAGGACGCTTTACCAGTTCGCCTGATAGTCCGGATAGCAGTATGAATACTATGAAGCCTCTCCTGGGAGAGGAAGACCTTACCCTTAACAGAGTCAATTACAGCTCCTAGGTGAGCTATGCGGGTGGAAGGGCTAAGTTGGCTCTTCTCCCAATTCACTAAAAACCCGTGATCTTGTATCACTGAAAGGGTAACACTAGTATCCCTCTCGGCCTGCTGTCGGGAAGGGGATACGATAAGGATATCGTCGAGGTAACAATGGATGCGGATGGGAACCTGTCTAAGATGGGCTGCCAGAGCTGCCAGCACCTTCGTGAAAGACCTCGGGGCTGAAACAAGGCCGAAAGGGAGGGCCACATACTGGAAATGTTGGTTATTATAACAGAATCTCAAATACTTTGAGTATGAGGGATGAATGGGAATATGGAGGTATGCTTCCGACAGGTCAACTGACGTGAGCCAGTCCCCTTCCCTGATACCCTGTAAAATAGACTGTAGAGTCTGCATCTTGAACTTCTGGCACCTGACAAAGCGATTAAGTCGCTTGAGATCTAAAATAGGTCTCCAACCCCCTGAATGTTTAGGCACCAAGAACAAGAGAGAATAAAAACCTCTTCCTCGTTGAGAGGATGGGACAGGTTGGATGGCCCTAATGTCAGCCAGATGTTTAATGGCGGAATCCATAAGAGCCCGCTTTGTAGGATCCCTAGAGACAGGTGAAATCCTGAAATGTTCAGGGGGGGGGGAGAGGAATTGTAGAACGAGTCCAAAACGCACGGAACTCCTCACCCAGGCATCCGAAGTGGACCTCTCCCAGAGGTCTGCAAAATGCCTGAGACGACCGCCTATGGGGAGAAGGTCTGAGGCCCTATCTGGGCCGGCGGGAGGCCCTGTGACCGGAGCCTCTAAAGGGTCTCCTAAAGCTGCCTCCTCTTCGGCTCCTGTCTCCTGTATCACTTCGGTCGTGGTAGGATGACCGAAACGACGGGGAACCCTAGAATCTAGGGGAGAATGACGACTGGTATGGGGGGCGAAAGGAGCCCCTCCGAAAGGGCTGGGACCCTCTAGACTCCTGCCTGCGAAAAAGCGAAGGAAGAAACTTCTTCTTATTTCGAGTTTCCAAAAGCAAGGGTTCAAGGGCAGGCCCGAACAGCTTCCCTTCTGCCAAGGGGGCTGAAGCCAACTTGGATTTATTTTTAACATCGGCCTGCCAATGCCGAAGCCAAAGTAATCTCCTAGCTGTAACATGGGAGGAGATGGCCCGGGAAGCGAACTTAACCGAATGAAAGGTGGCATCAGCCGCGAACTCCGCCGCTGCTGTGATTTTTGCAATATCCTGATGGGCCCTGGTATTAGTCGGGGGGATATGCTGCTTGAGCTGCCTGAGCCACTTGATGGAGGAACGGGTGAAAAAGGAGGCGGCCGTGGCCGACCTGATGGCCCAGGCATCGGACTGGTGAGCTCGCCGAAGAGCCATCTCCGCCCGCTTGTCCTCTGGCTTCAGCGCCTCCAACGCATCCGTAGGGTTGGAAGAGGAGGTCAGCCTCACAATTGGATCGTCTACCTCCGGGGTGTCTAACATAGAAGAGAATGCTGGGTCCAGATTAAACATCCTCTTATCCTGACTAGAGGGGGCGGGTGTAGGACCCACCGAGGCCAACTGCCTCGCAACCAAGTCTGAGAAGATTGGGGGGGCCGGAATAACTTCTGCTTCCACAATCGGTTGCCTGAACATGAGGTCATCTGGATCCTCCGAAGTCGATGGCGGTGGATCAGAAGGAGATTGAGAGGCCAGGCCTGAGCTATTCTTAGCCTTAAATAATAAGGACTTAAATAACTGGGGTTTAAAGAGGCCCACAACCGTCGGTTGTTCGGGAGAAATGCCCTCGTCCTCTGACATTTCCCCCTCCATAGGGTCCCCGAGAAGGAAATCAGAATACTGCGAGGACCCCCTCTCAGAGCCTTCCTCCTCCCCGAAGGGCTCAAAGCCCATTTCCTCCTGTTCCTGCGAGACCTCCTGAGGCTCCTCCCCTCCTGGGGATGGGGCATCCGTATGAGAAGGTACCTGACCCTGCTGGGGCGCCTGCCCGGAGAGAGATCGACCAGATAAAGATTCAACGTCGGAAGTCCTCCCTCGAGAACCAGGTCTGGATAGCTGCTGCATTCCATCAGCTATACCCTGACGGATAGCAAATTGCATCCATTCCCTGATACTATCAGGGATGATGGTTGACGGCGGCTCCTCAGGGCGAAGACCTGCAGCGGTTGGCGTGAAGGTCGCCTCTGGAGTACGGGATGGCTGGCGGCTCCGGGTGGATGTACTGCACCTGGAGGGGGAAGAACGACTCGGCAGGGGAGGGGGATGGGCAGAGGTAGAAGGTGGGGTAGTTATAGTGTGCAGTTCTTTAGATCGTTTGCTGAACTCCTTTTCCAGAGCTTTGTGACGCCTTAAGGCGTCCTTTTGGGAAGCACTGGAGGAGTCCTTGTCCCTCTTACGAAGATAGTGCGTCTTCGATTTGGCCTTCAGGGAAGAGCCAGTTGGATTGTTCTCTGCCATGGTATCAAGGAAAAAAAACCTTACAACAAATATGGCGGTTGGCACGCCTAGGAGTTCGGCTTACAAACGCAAACCGGTTTTCCCAAATCAGATCACGTCCCCCTTTGAATAAAAATTTTTTTTATTATTTTTTATTTTTTATTTTTTTATTTTATTTATTTATTTATTTATTTATTTATTTGAATTTGTTTTTTAAAACACCAAGTACTAAAAAACACAATGAGAAAACTATCCAAAAATATCTACACAAAAGCTTGCTGGAATATATTATAAAATAACTAATAATAATAATTTCTTTTCTCCTTTTTTTTTTTTTTTTTTAAGGGCGGGGCCCAAGGACAGGGCCAAATAGGCACAAGGAGAAAATAATAATAAAAATTATTAAATACAAATCCAAATGAGCCGAATGAACGCAGAGGCCAAAAAATAAGGGAAGCAAAATAAGTATAATAGGTAGGCCTCTTTAGGCAGCCTCCCAACACAATGGGAAGTACGTGCCCGCGCCTCTGAACAAGCTGATTGATACAGACAGAAAAAGCCAACAAGAAAAAAACCTCTAAAGGAAAGACAGCAGGGCCGGAACCACAGTGTCCTCCAATAAAAAAAGGGGGCTCCACGCGGCCTGACGGTCCCGCTTAGGGCCTCAATCCACACAGCTTAAATCCAAAAACAAAAATTACACACAGCCAGGAAAAAATATTATTTAAAATAAAACAAAATGGCGCCGGCCACGAGGCGGTTCCAAAATGGCCGCCCGGCACGACGCGAGGCAATCAGAGGCGCACCAGTCCTATTCGCTTACCAGGCAATCAGGAACAACGAAAAGCCAGGGCTGGGAGAGGAAGCGTTGCTTCCTCTAAAGCGTTCTAGGGGGGGAATGATAATAGTGCAATAAATCAAGGCACGGAGACAAGCGGCTGGATAAAGGCACGCTCGGAAATGCAGAGAAAGAGAAGAGGGGTGGGGGGGGCGAAGTAAAGCTCCGAGCCCTTAAACCCCTTCCTACAGGCAAAAAAACGCCTCACCAATTAAATTTAAGAGCACACTATCAACGCAGGGACAAGGAGGAAAGGAATAAAGGCAAACCTGAACACTTAGAAGCAAAAAACTCTGAAAAACGGCCAAGGAACAAGAGATCGCTGCCTGCTTTCTCGAAGGCTGAGTGAAAACTGGAGAACGCATGGAGGAGCCACGTGGAGGAAGGAGGAGCGTTCTTCAATTATAACTCAGCCTGTGAGAAGGAAGGACTGAAGCACCTTCCACTCTCTGGATGCTCGCAGCAGTTCTACGGAGAACAATAACAGCAACAATATGCAAACAACACAAATGCATGATGAAAATGAAATTAGAGGAATTCATCATGAGAATATAATACTATTAAAATCAAATTTTAGTTAAAAAGAGATGCAAATCTGTAAGGAGAATTGCCAATTAATTTTGTATTTGCAATGTCTTATTAATGGATTTAACTTTTTGTTCTTTTTGGTAGGCATTCACGACTGCCAGCTCAGCAGCTGAGTTAAATTCCAAACAAAAGCGATTCAGAATTAAGCCATTTCTTTGGCACAGCCTTCTTGTTTGGGTTTGTGTACATAATAGCACCTCTGAAATAGATGCAGTCCTCATGCATGTCCTATTCTATAAGGAACAGCTTCATCAAAAAAACTGGTAAGGGCAATCTTATAACTTGATATACCCTTGATGGAAACCACTTTTGTGCTGAAGTGTTACATAACCTTTATGCCGAAATGTTAATCACTCTACAGTTGCTTGTCAAAAAGATTTACAATTATTGTGCCAGAAAGAGAAGCAATTTATATACTTTGTATTGCTTCACTTTATCTAGAAATTGTTTCTGTCTTTTTGGCTAGGACATTTTACCAGTCTGCTTTTATTAAATTATGTCTGTTATTGATAGCAACTTCATTTCATGATTTCAAAGTACATTATCTGTCACATAACTAAACAGCTGCAGTGCAATGTGCCAATCTTTCTTCTGGGACCGATACTTGCCTTCATTTTTGGGTGCTCTTTATGCAAAGTGTAATAAAACTAATTTTGCATGCTTACAATTAATTTTATGCTGGAACTGTATTCTTGATTGCTTCTTTTAATTGAAGCCTCAACAAGTTATAATTGTAAACTGCACTCATTGGAACTTTGCCTTATGCTTAAACTATTTTGCCAAGAAGAAATTTCTCAGATATATAAAATTATATGGAATTATAGAAAAGCTAATGATATCCTTGTTCTGTGATTTTGGTCTGAGATCTTTTTGGTGGGTTTAAAAGTTGGCAAAATGGAGTAAACATAATTATTTTTGAGGATTAATTTTGTATTTCTTCTGTTTAACAACATGGAGGAATGTCAACACAGGTTATGTTTTAGCTGAGTGTCAGATGGTCGTGCATGGCTTCCATTTAAAAATAACTTCCATGGTAACTTTAATTTTATGTAGAGCCATGAGTTTTATTTCCACTGAATGAAGGAGGGAAGTATGAAAAAAAATTGACATGATTCAAGCTGCAATTACTGTTGTTTTAGGTGTCAAACAGCAATGCAGTGCAAGGAGGTGGTCACACTGTTTTGCTTAGCTTAATCTTTATTTTATTTTTTATTTATTTTATTTGGTTTGTCAATTGCTTACAAGATAATAGGCATAAGTAAAAACATAGTTATGAATACATGGATACATATAAGAAAAATAAAAGATATAACCAGGCAAATAATTTATATAACCAGGCAAAGCATCCCTTGAAATCTGTATGTCTCTAATGTGGATTCTTCATAGTGTTGAAGTTGTGTGGAGATCCTAAACAAAAGCAAAGAGGCATATTACAGTGTAAATATTGACAGAGAAGTTACTAGACCAATCTCACTGAGCACTGGAAGGCAATACCCTAACTATTTGCCTAAGCATCAAGAGATACTTTTCTGATTCTGGTCTGGCTCTTTATTGAATGACTTGTTCATGTAAAGAACAGTCATCTTTACTTAATTGCCTGCTAGACCATATGTTGCCTTCAGGCTAGTAGCTGTGACAATATTTATAACAGTAATATCTAAGGAGCCACAACATCAACATAACGTAGTGAAACTAATTCAAGATGAAGGGTTATTTATATGGTTTCTGTGTAACCAAATCTTCATAAATTCTATAATACACATGAAAATACTTGTTTATTTTTGCCTGTTTCCTCTGAAATGTATTATGCATAATAATAGAATGATATTTCTATGTACATTAAATCCACTGATCTTTTTATAAGATGAAATTGAAGTGTTATGGTAATTTGGAAGACTATTATTCTTGTTATCCCTATAACAGTGAGAATCTACACTTATTTCTATTTTCTTGGCTTAATATTGATAAGCAAAAGGGAAAAAAAGGAAAGAAAAGCTCCATGTTCTCTGAAATGTGCAATCTTTTAAAATGAACCTTAAAATGCTAATGGTTCAATGGTGCATTGGAGCTAAGGAATGTATCCATAATTGCATGTTTTCAAGATGGAGCACCTAAAAGCCCCGCTGAGAATATTAACCATAGGTATCTTTTTATCTGAGATAGTGAATTATAGGATGCAACAGAACATAACTATGTTCTTCATAAGTGCATACAATGGAATGCTTAAAAATGTAACCGTTCTCTGCCTTCTCTTTCCCTTCCCCTCCCTTCCCTTCCCTTCCCTAAAACATACTAAGTCTATAGAGAGGGTACTTACACTTGAGTAGTGACCTTGTTTTTTTTTTTTTTTTTTGTAACTTTGTTTCTCAGCTGCCCCAGGATGAAAACTTGCTTTGATATGTAATACACTAAGTTAAAGCACACTGTTGATTTTAATTTAACATTTCAAAAATAGTAGGCTTTGCTACTTAAAAATTATAGTGAATAGCTGTGGAAAATAAAAATCATGTTAAATAGAACTAATGGTGAATTTTCTTTTTCAATATGAACAGCCTGAGTTAATTCTTAATAACAATCAATTTGTGAAATATTTCCTTTCTCAAATACTAACTTGGTATTTGCCATGCAGCTCTCATTCCTAATAATTTCATGAGTTTGAATAGACTTAAAGCACAAAGAAATATTATATTGCTTTAAGATATACTACTTACAGAGTTGTACTGATACATTCTTTAATCATTATTTACTTACCCATTGCACAATTTAGTAGTGTTTTCTTTTCTTGGTGTTCTGCTATTCAACATCAATATTCCTATTTTTGCTGGTAACATATATCAAATTTGTCTTTTGATCACCTGTGGGGAATTCGGCTTTTTTGGTTACTTTTCTGCTGTAATTGCAGAAGTCCTTAATGAGGGTTTTCATTGCTTACTTGTCCTCTTTAGTTTGTGCACATCTAATTATAATCATGTCTCTACAGTAAAGCACACAAAATGAAATCAATAAAGACTTAGTATAGTTTCCAGTATTCATGGGTTGACTTGATCATTGCCTTTAGAGAGCAACTGAATGGAACAAATTGTTGAATCTTTTTTTCTTCTCAGACAGGTTTGAGCAAATTGAGCTTATTGTTCAAAGCAGAATGTGAACAACATAAGCTACAGTCAATTTCAGTCTGCACATACTATACAGAAATATTTACTGGAAGGATGGGCAGAAGAACATGCAGACTTGGCAAATTATGGCCGGTGCCCTGTTGGATTTATTTTCTAAATGCAAAATTATTCTGGTCATTGAGTGTACTCCCACAGTTTAGTTAGCCATTCTTCTGAACAGAGAATCAAATGTCTTTTTCAATGAAAACCATATAAAATATTTGCAGTTGTTAACATATCCAAATACCTATGAATGGGAAAATAAGGTCTGTGTATTAAAAATGATCACCTGAAGACCTCTAATTGCAGATAAGTAGGCAAATGGTTTATTATTTGGAAAAGGATGATGCTCATAAAATGAAAGACAAGGTCCCTCTGGGCCTGCAACTAGAGCCCTTATCTATATTAGATAAAATTTGAATGGCTCAATATAGCCCTGTGAGGTGATTTGGAGGAAAAGATAGTCTAGATAAGTTGCCACCTTTTTCATAGAATTGCCCTGCAGAAACAGCAGGAACTGCTCTGTTAGATCCTAGCAGTCTCATGATAGTTTGGCCCATTTAAAGCATTTTTGAAGAGGTAGTCCCAGACTCTTGCTTGACCCTAGGAAGCACATGAATGGGAACTACTCCCCAGAAACCCACCAATTATTTTTAAGGAGATCAAGGGTCTTTCAGACACCATTCTAAAGTTTGGAATAATGTATGCAGAATTATATCGCTGACTGAATGGAAGGCAGTTTTGCTCTTTGGCAGAAAAGGGATGACAAGGTGTAGGATTAGTTTGTCTTTATTCACAGCATGGGTATGTATGTTGATTGGGGAATGCACTGGCAAATATCACAGAAATCAGAAATATAATTTGTAAGACAGGGGTGTCAAGCTCACATTGTCATGGTGACATCATGTGACATATCAGGACCTTTTCCCCCTTCGCTAAATCGGGAGTGGGCATGTGACATATCCGCCCTGCAGGTCAGGAGTTTTAGAGCCCTGTTCTAAGACAATAAAAAGAATACATTATATTCTTTAAAAGAATATACTATGTGACCAAGAGTTCAGATGGTTTCAACATTGTCCTAGATAAGCTCCAAGTCAATATAAAAATGGATATAACTGAAGCAAGGTCTTCATGAAATCTTTAAGAGATCTAAATGCAAAACCAAAAACAATAACAACAAAGAAATGACAATCAGAGTGCTATGATAGCTGTAAGATTATACACAACAAAGAGGAAGAGAAAATATGGGCATTTCAGAGAGTATGTAACTGGGTTACATTGGGTGAGACAGAACCAGAGGTGCTATTTGACTGGTTTGCACCTATTCGGGAGAACCGGTAGCGGTTATTTGGCTTGGGTCGCTGAACCAGTGGCAATCCCTGGCTGGCACGCCCCCAACCCGGTCGCCCGGTCGCTCACTTGCAATCGCTCTCCTAGCTTTCTGTTCCCGACGTCCTCTTTCTCCCCAGGGAAAAGGAAGAAAGGCATGGACGCTGCAAGTATCACTTTCCCCGTGTGAGTAAAGTGCCTGGAGTGAGAAAGGGGGTGGGGGTGAATCGAGCCTTGGAGCACTTTTGCAATGTAAAAGAAATGCATTTTGGAAGCAGGTCTTTTAAAAACTCCTCCAAGGATTCCCCATGGACGCTGCAAGTATCGCTTTCCCCTTGTGAGTTAAAGTGCTGGAGTGAGAAGGAGTGCGGTCTGACAGAGGGGGTGGGGGAATCCACTCAAGCCTTGGAGAAATTTAAAGGAGTTGCTTCCAAAATGCTTGTCTGTTAAGTTCTCTCTCTCTCTCTCTCTCTGTGTGTGTGTGTGTGTGTGTGTGTATGAGAGAGAGAGAGAAAGAAAGAAAGAATGAAAGAAAGAAAGAGGAAGGTAGAGAAAGAAAGAAAAAAAATAGGTGACAAGGAATGACTGGGAGGGGAGGGGCCAGGTGAGGCACCCCTTGATGTGAGTGACATTGAGTTGGCCACGCCCACCCAGTCACATGACCACCAAGCCATGTCCACCCAGCCACATGACCACTAAGTCACACCCACCCAGTCACATGACCACAAGCCACGCCCACCAAATAAGCCACGCCCATAGAACCGGTAGTAAAAAAATTT